AAACTTTGCCTACATATATTATATCAGCTGTGCCCATATAAGGTGATGAATTTTGCACTCACGTTTGCTTGCTGGGTAAGAATATATATAGTGTATATGAAACTTACATGATCCACAACTCCTGATGTGGCAGACATTTCTTGCTCTGCGTCGGGCATGCTCCAGTTTGGCAATTGCGTGGTCAATGCCCTCTTAGCGTCATCCACCTTTCTCTGGGCATGGACAAGAGCTCGGTCGGCCCTGTAAAAAGCTTCTTTCTTCTCTCTTATCTTATTCTGAGCTGCTTTTATGTGTCTGTCGGCTTCATCGGCAGATCGTTTCAACCCATCCCTCACACCGGCGGCAATCTTGTCGAAGAGATCATTTTTGAACAACCCTTCTACCACAAAATTGGCATTGGCAAGGTTCCCATACGAAGCTTGGATGCGGAGTCCAACATAGAACAGGTTCAGGAACTTTCCATTGATGGAGTACTCGTATTTGGAGCTTGATATGAGTATCTTGATTTCAGCTGACATACCGAGAACCTCGGCATAACCACTAGCCTCAATGTAGGGGAGGCTTGAAGTACTCATGTCTACAATCACATAAGGTCCGCGAGATTTATCACTTCGCGAGGCGTACATTTTGAAGAAGTCCGGCAACATTGAGAGGAGGTAGGCCTGCCTTTACCTTGATCCGATTCGTTGGACTTTTATGTATGCGTAGCCCTTAGACCAAGTATATTGATGTACCTTGAAAAGAACCGACAGGAATGGATATACTAGCATGGGGAAGTTTCTTTCCCAAGAAGTGAAAAGGAGGCTCTGATACCATCTGGAATCCACTCTCAGCTAGCGGCCGTGGAGTTTGGCGCCCCGATGCAAAATGCATCGAAAAATGACTGGAAAGTGAGCTTCCCATGTTGACATAGAAATAGTTCTCAATGGATTGGCTACACTGATACCAATGTAGCCTTCTGCTGTCTAGCACTCCCACAAGGACTTTCTTGCCAAGTTTCGATTCTCCCTCCAATTCCAGTGCCGTGACTGGCGAAGGAGCTGGATGAGAGTAACCGAGAGAAGGAGGTTACAAACTGTTATGTTACTGCGTTGCAAATATATTGGGTATCCAGCCACTATAGTACCCTCCAATTTGACAACCTCCTGGCGTTAATCTTATGGCAGCTCCAAGAGTGATAGCTGGTTTGCTCAATTTCAAGAAACCCACTATTCCATGGAAGGGTTAGGACCAGCTTCAATCTGTATTCCAGCTCTCTGCAGTATGACACACCACCCAGCTTCAGATCGCTCACGGCTGCTGTCAATCTAAACGACTTTGTGCTAACGATGTGTAGCTTCCAGCAATAACTTTGCGTTCTTACCAAGTATGCTCTGGCACACAGCACAGAATGCATCTTTGCTACAGTCTGGAGGGAAGCCTATGGGAAGTCGGAAGGATATGCCTTTGCTAATACTGAGCCCTTTTAACTCAGAGAGTTTGATTAAGTCATGCGGAACCGAGACTGGAGCCACGATAAAAGCAATGTCTGTATTCTGGTCGAGAATGAATATCTTGTGCAGGAGATTCCAAGTAGCTTCTGATGAAGTGGCGATATTGAACTCTCCAAAGGTGTACTTTTGAATGATTTTCACTCTCCCTCCATACTTTACTCCAATGGCAGTGATGTGGATAGTCGTTAGTCCCCACAACTGTGGTGTTCCTGAGATCAGTATTTGCTGTGGCGTAACTCCGAAAGGATACTCGATCACAGCATCCAAATTTTGAAATTGAAAACCTGTCCCAAGGATGGCGTTAAGGTCACCGGGCAGTAGATCAGCACCGAGGCCTTTTGCTATCCCAAAGATTGGGAGCACTTCTGCTTTAATGGTGATGACGTACTTTTGGGTGAGTTCGCTTCTTCTAAGATGCACATCTAAGTCTGTCCCTGCAATAGAGACTATTCCTTTTACTTCGGCACTCAGTGATTTGGGAGGAGAGAGCTTTGCTATTAGTTTCAAAGACGTATCCGAGATTGAGAGCACGTCTTCAAAGAAAGTTATCTTATTGATTAGAACTTCGACTGTCATTACTTTCTGAGGGATGTCAAAAGAGAAGCTATGTAGTCTGATTTTAAAATGTCTCCCAACACCGACGGAAGAGTTGAGTGAACCACATCAACTCCTGGTATTTGTGAGGCTAATGAACCGATAGATACATCCACATTGTCTGGTACTGTAAACGTCAAAACTTTGTTCACGTAAGACCCCATAACTCCATTAACTCCACCAATGGCTATTTCAAATTCAGCTGTAAACCCACTCGGAAGTGTGGTTCCATACTTTGCGAGAGGCGAGTTGGGACTTAGAACCTGGGCCAGTAGAGGAGTTGAGAGCTCGTTCTTAGCAATAGAGAATTGCCATTACAGGCACACTGAATGTTCCAAAGAACGGAATTGGTGTTATGTCAATATTAGCTGCCGATTTAACAAGATCTGCTAACTTGAACGACTTTTATTCCGACAGCAATGGCAATGTTGGATGTTGTTCCGTATTTCTGGTACAGGAGATGGACATTTGCCGTTCCTGCTATCGTACCACTGAGATGAATGTAAACCTCTCCTTTAGCTTCCGACCAACAATCTTTGTCAGTTTGACAGAGTTAACCGCAGAAGGAATGGGTAGAGTTGTTCCTGATAGACCAGTGACCAGATCACCGATACTCAGACCTTCCCTGGGAATTGCGCAAACAAAATCTCTCCAATGGCTCTATCATAGGAAACTTTGATTCTGATATTGATTGCTTCTAAGGACCCAGTCGCCACTGAACTCAAGTGAATCTACACCTCTGTTGGTGGAACCCAGCTGCGCAATAACAGAAATGTTGAGGTTTTTGACAGTTAGAATTTTAGGAATGATGGTGATTTGGGGGAAATGTGCAGCCACGGAAAGTTTACTGGCTGTTTGATCATAGCGAATTGCTTCCAGCTTGCCACTAAGTAAGTCACTGATTGGTGAGGAAGTCCTTTCACTGCTTCTTCAAATGAGGGAATTTCTGAAAGTAGACCTTGTAGAGTCAAGCTTGTTGCAGGAGGAACTGAAAAGTCTATGACTTTTTCTGCATAAGTAACTTCTATTCCAAACTTTCCGCCGATTTCTGCCTTGAATACAGCGGTTAATCCCTTTGGAATAGCTTTACCATACGCTTGAAGCTCAGAGTCTGGATCAAAAGTAGAAGTAAAGTGATTGCTGTATATCGTGTCTGTCGCTATAGTGAAAGCCATGTTTGTTACAATGAAGGAGCCAAGGAAAGGAACCTTTGAGATGTCTGCACCCGTTGCCGTCTTTATTAGATCTGCCAGTTTGAACTCCTCAATGTCGGCTGCCACGGCTACATTTGTTCCTGTCTTGGCCACATCAAACACCAAATACACTTCTGTGCTCCCAGTTCGGGCTGATATTAAGATGAAGGTTCCATAGTCATCTATCTGGGCAATAACTTGTGTGATTTTCAGTGATGATATTATTGAGGGCACTTGGAGGTTTACTTTACCAAATCCGTTGATGAGGTCAACAATACTAAGGCCACCGGAATCAGTTGGATACCCTTTGATGAATAACTTTTTCCCGTTTGTCTCGTACGTCACCTCAGTACGAAGAGACACACTGCGAATGGCCCACGTGGCTTTCATTTCAAACACATTGATAGTCACTGCCTGCAGTGCAGCCATTTCCTGTTCATCAAGCTCAACTAGTTTTCCGAATGCGTAGGAGGCTATGTAAGGAGAGGACCTGTCCCAAGTCGCTAGTTCTTGAGATTGACCTTGTGTTGATTGCAGATTCATGTCTAGACGAATGGTTACATCTTTGAGCGCAATTACATTTGGTACCACATTCAAACCGCTCAGGTAAAGTGTTATTTCAAGGTCTTTTGTAACGGGATTAAAGACTAGCTTTGTGACCTTAGCACTCAGAATGTCTTTGACGGGGGGTGGCAGAGTATCGATTGTTGACTTTACACTCGGAATGAGAGATATGAGCGTTGCAAGTGACAGAGAGACAGATGACGGTGCTGTGATGGTGAGAGTGTTGTCAGCGTATTCCGCATTCAGTCCTGCAGCTTTCCCAATGTCCAGCAGAAATTGGCCCTTGAGACCTTTCGGGATGTTCTCCAATAGAAGCTCGGGGGATATTCCTGGGATCTCAATGTCCGGTAGTGTGGCAGTTGATAACTGGTCTGAACACAGGACAAAGCTCAGGGCGGGAATTGTCAGGTCACCAAAGAAGGGCACATTGGAAATATCAACCCCCGATCCATATTCTACCAGCTCTGCCAGCTTGAAGGACTTGATATCAGCTGATACTGCGACTGTTTTTTTGTCTTTTACTTTCTCGTATACAACTGCAATATTTGCGACTTCTCCCAGTTTGGCAAGCAACACAATTGAAATGGTGTCACCATTGACTGTTCCAGTGACACGGTTGAACTTTAGTTCATTGAATATCGATGGAATTTTGATCTCAGTTCCTGAAAATCCCTCAACTAAGTCCTCGACATTTACACCTTTTGAGCTGGTCGGAAAAGCGTCAATGACAATAACGTTTTTATCGTAGGTTACGTCAGTTGTAAGAGAGAGAGAGCGTAACTCCCAGGTGCCTTTGAAATGGACGGACTCTACAGCTGGTTTGTCTCCAACTACTCCCGACAGCTCAAACTCAATATTGGTGAGGGTGAGTAGATCAGGTATGATCCTGAGTGACTCCAGCGAACCTGAAAACTGAAGTTTTTTCCCGTTAGGAGCATAGTACAGTTTTCGTAGCTTTGTGCTTGCAATGTCTTGAAATGCTGAAGGAAGCTTCTCCAAAACACTATCCACCCCTGGAATTGCTTTCAGCAAGTTTGCTAGAGAGAGTTCAACTGAGTCAGGAACTGTTACTTGTAGTTCCTTATTGGCAAAATCAGCCACCACTCCTTTGGCTGTTCCAATGTTAAAACTAAATGTAGCTGTCACACCCTTTGATACTTGATCTCCAAAGTTTGCAAGGAAAGAGTTTTCACCATAGATGGTCGATAGAACACGATTGTTGATACTATCTGAAGAAACGGTAAAGGCCTATTTCAGGGATGACCAGTGTGCCAAAGAAAGGGAAGTTGATATGTCCAAACCTGTTGCACTAGACACGAGTGATGCAAATCGAAACTTGATATCTCAACTGCCAGCGCAACTACAGAACCAGACTTGATTTCTGATAGATGATGTGGATAGTAGCTGAGCCCACACCTCCAGTGAGGGAGATGAGTGTCGTATCTCCAATCTTGTTTCCCTCCAGTTTTGAGAGAGTCACTGATGATGCTATGGTGGATGGAATGGGTAGCGTTTCACCCGAGAGTAACTGAATAAAATCCTTGATTTTGACTTGCCCACGAGCTCTCCAGCTATGCTAAGACTGTTTTCCTCATAACTATAACCGATGGTTGTGCGAATAGGCAGTTTGTTAAGAATCCAATCGCCAGTAATGTCAAGTGTGTCCACATACCTTTCTGTACAAGTACCACACTGACTGAAACTGAGACAGACGTAAGAGCAACAACTCTGGCACTATTACTACTTCTTTGTCAAGAGATCCACTGAACTGTAACTGCTTGAATTTGGATCTAACTAAGGACGAGATTTTTGCACTGAGAAGTGTAAGCAATTCTGGGGAAAGCTTTTGCAGAGCACTTTTAACTTTTGGCATGTGGGAAAGCAAGTTTTCAAGAGTGAGAGATGAAGTGGAGGGAATGGTGAATGATAGACGCTCGTGGACAAATTTAACAGCAATATTGGCTGTGCCGGATATTTCAACTACAAACTGCCCAGAAATACCTTTGTGTATGCCGTTCTTGAATGCTTCAATTGCAGAGCCTTTCGAAACGAGTTCAGCTAGGAATGAACTCATGATATCGTTTGACGCCGCAGCAAACTTTAACTCTGGGACGACAATTGATCCGATTAGGGGCACGCTGGAGATATCAATGCCCGTAGCCGACTCGACAAGGTCAGCCAGCTTAAAACTAGCTAAATCAGCAGCAACTGCTAACTCAGTCTCCGAAGCCTCTCTTTCCACAACGACACTTATTGTTCCCTTTGATCCAATCCGACCATTGAATATGAGCAGTGCTTCGCTCGGTGTTACCGTACCTCTGATGCTGGTGAATGCAAAGGAAGAGTAGACGGCAAGACCAGATCGTTTCCAGCAATATTTTCCATCAAGTTCTCAAGGTTCAAAGTAAGAGGTCCTGCGGCCTGACTACCTACGTCCAATCTCTTCGAAACACCATCATACACAATCACAGTTTTGATGGAATATTTACCGATTGTCCAGATCTCTTCAAACTCCACCACCTTAGTTGACATGACCTTCCCTATACTACCAACATAGGTGACTTCAACGTTTGATAGCGACAGGACACCAGGTATTACAGTAAATCTTCTCAGGGAAGAACTCACACTCAACTCCTGTGACGTGGTATTGTACTCAAAAGATGTAAGCTGTGCGGCTAGAACTGACTGCAGCTGTGACGGAAGGGAGTCCAAAGCACCACGCAAACCTGGTATCACCGTAGACAAAGATGTTAGGCTCAAAGGAGAAGACACAGGAGGTTTGACTATCAGTACATCCTCATCATAACTCCCCATTACATCTCTAACATTGCCTATGCTCAGTCTGAATGCACCGGTCACACCAGCAGGCAGACTGTCTCCATAGGTGGAAAGTGGTGAGGCAGTTCCAAGGATGTGTGGTAGTGTTGGGCTCTTTATCTCTCCAGAGGTGATGGATAAACCCATGGAAGGCACAACTAGCTGTCCAAAGAAGGGAACGGTTGAGATATCAATTCCTGTTGTGCTCTTAACAACCTCTGAAAGGTTGAAGTTTGTAACACTTGCTGCTACCCCCGCCTTTAGACCACCCATCCCTTTATGGAAGAACACATACACCTTACCGTCAGGTACGGTACCCTGCAATGCTATGAAATACTTTCTGTTGTCGTAGGAGAGCTTGCTGGGGAGGTTGTATGAATTTCCGGTAATCTTCTGCGCCAAGTCCTTTGCGCTAAGTGTCCAACTGCCACCACTTGTTGCAGTCACATAGAAAAGCTTTTTGGGTCCATTGTATTTGAGGTTTGTCACAAGACTGGTCTTCCCTATTTGCCACATTCCAGAAAACATCAAGCTTTTCAGAGATGGGCTGGACCCAATCGCAGCTTGGACGCTGAACTTAGTGTATCAGGGACACTTGAGGGACCGTAGTGCTAAGGGAAAGCTCCATGGTTTGTGAAATATAAGAGAAGGCTGTTATTCTGGAGCTCAGAAGTTCGGAAGCGGTACTAGGAAGAGTGTCTAGCATTGTCTTGAAGCTCGAAATGTGACTTGAAATTTGATTGACTGACAATACTAGCGATGGAGGGACTGAGAATTTTTAGCTGGCAGGGTCATACTTCACAGCCACAAAAGTGTCTGTTCCAAAGAGCTGAGTCTCACCACTCAGTATCAGAGTGTTGAAAGTGACTTTGGAGCCAATATGCATTCGCACAGACAGTGTTATGTCGGTAAAACTTAAAACTTGTGGAATAAGTACCAGAGTGCCACTAAGTTGGACATGGACATCAAGCTGTCCAGTGGCACAGCTGAAGGACATGTTCAGGAGCTTATTAGGTGGGAGGCTAGAGGAGCTCAGGCTGAGAAATAGAGCAGTAGTGAGGCTTACTGCATTACCGGCAGCAGCTGACACAAAAATCACTTCACCTGTACATGGAAACGGTTGTTTTAAAAGTTGCCATTTGTTTTATTCGTGATGATAATTTTGGCTTACCTTCTTGAATGTACACACGCCGTTTCTGTCGGCCATAGTTGTCTGAGTATTGTAAGAATAGACCAATATCAATTACACTCAACATAGTTTCATAATTTCTAACTATTGCATAGCTACTCGTGCACTCCTGTGATAGCTATATACATGATCCGAGCCCTGACCACCAGGAGCAGTGTAGCTCTCAGCTCCAATGTGAGAGGGAGGTATCCCTGAGGGACAACACAGTTTAGTGACTGATTGAGTTTGATTTGATAGTGGTTTCTTCGGGTGGGATTTTTTATATAATATATAATATATAATTATACTGGTGGAAATGCTTGCCATTCTTTGGTCGAGCGGAGCGAGAACTTCATCATTACTAGCGATAATATAGCTACGTACACCTGCAGGTAAAATGTTTCAGCAAGTAACAGAACTTTTTATGGTGTTGACATAATATTAGGTTGAGTAAGGCAGCTTGCGCATACGTAGCTAGTGAAACTAGACCAGAAGAAAGTAGCAACGGAAAGGTTGTCGTGTCTGTCATGAGGATTTTCGACGGCCGGGCGTTCTGTCTGTCTCCCTCTTGGACCAGAAGCAGTATCATTGCCTTGCCCGCTCTCAATCTCTTAATCGTCCCTGAAAAAGACGAGTCTCTCTGTCATGAGGACTTTCGACAGCCGGGCATACATAGATAGAAAATTCGAGCCAAAGATACAATTCTCCGTCTGTTTTTCTTCGACGAAATCCGCGGATGAATTCATCTCCTTCTAAGCCAACTGGACGGACTGTAAGAGGATGGAGAATCCGCACAGTATCTTCTTTTTTTCTCTATAGATAGAAGGCAATACAAAACAGACGAAAACACAAAAACAAAACAAAACAAAACAAACAAAACAACAGACAGATTAAATAATGCTGTCAATAGAAGGGGGGCCAATAGGGAATCAATGGAGCCAAAGAGCGGCATTCCCACGCCAGAGAGAGACAGAGCAGCGCTGGAAGAGGTAACGAATTGAGTCGGCAGGAGAGACCCCTAAATGCTGGCCTAGTAGGCGACCAAGTCTGGACAACAAGGTGGTTGTGGCCTCACTCATGCCGCCCAGGACCTCAAAAGCAAGGGGGATGAAAGAGACCCCAACAGCGCGGCAAGCGGGGGCATGAGCTGACATCTTTCGATGCCTCGCAACAGCGAGGGCATGGCCAGCAGAGGAAGCAGCCCCTTGAAGGGTGAGGGGTTGAAGGGAGGAAATGACGGTCACGTCCATAGCAGCTGGTTGACCCCGTTCCCAATTAGGAAGTAGGATGTCAGCAGGGCGGCTCTGTGATCCAGGGATGAGAGAAGGGACCTCCTTTCGTGGAGCCAAAGCAGCGGAGCGGGCAGCATGAAAAAAATGGAATCACATACAGAGTTGTGCCTAAGGATCTATCACCGTTCCCCCCGCAAACCGAACTAGTGGTCACCACAAGGTGTCAGAGCACAGCTGAGTGGCAAATGCCGCATTTCACCCCCTCCTCAAAAATCGGGACCCCCAACCAATATTGTAGGCAAACCCGGAACTCACAATCCATGAAGTGAAGGCCGAGGGAAGATGAAGGAACAGCGTTCAGCCAATTACCAGCATGGGGGAGAGAACACGATTGGGCAAGGGCCAGAGAACGGGTGTCAGGAGTGGAGGAGAGAAGAAGGTCGAAAGATTCCTGGTCAATTTTGTATGAGAGGGAGTGCTGCCGAAGGGTGACGTCGATGTCCTGTAGAGAGACCCACTCAGGATGCCCAGCTGCCCCAGCAAGAGTGGCCAGGCAGGAAGGGAGACTAGCGGGGACAGGAGGGGGGTGGCGGCGAATTTGGGCAACGAGGGGGTTGGAAAGAGCGAGGGATCCAATGAAAGCTGCAGGAGCATGGAGGAGGGCCTGACGGAGATTAAGGCCACCCAAAGAGACAGGCAGCGATGCTTTCAACCAGCTCTAGTCAGAGATGGGCCCCCCACAGAGGTCTTCCAAGGAGTCCCGCATGATGTTGTCAAAGGCTGCAAGTGCAGGATGAATTAGGTTAGGGGCACAGGTACGGAGAGTGAAGGAAATTTTGGGGAGGTAGAGGCAGGACCGCAATAGAGCGGTTTCCATTTGGGCATCTTGGAGGTCCCTCAAATTCACACAAATACATATAGATAGAAAATTCGAGCCGAAGACACAACTAGGTGGGCTCGCCCCGCTCGCCCAATTACGCACTTCTATACATAAGACAGGGGAATTCAAATACTTACAAGGAATTAGTGTCCTTTGATGTGATTTCACTCTGCTGGAATCCTGGTGGAGTATACAGTTACGTATCTAGAGTAGTGTAGAGTCTCGGACGAATTATTCTCTGACATGCTGTTCTGACAAATCTCCCTTTTCTAGGTGTGCCCTGATTCCGATGTTGCTAAAGACCCAAAATCTCTTAGAATTTGTGCACTACTAGAACAATTGAATTTTGGCTAGGATGTAAGAGCAAAAAGGTATTGAGTTCGTTTAGGTATCTATTGCAAGTGAAAGTTCACAGCCCACAACTACAATCAGATCGTATGACATTTTGAGTTAACCAGTGCCCGCAACTCAGTAATGGCTATAGGGTTGGTTATGGTTGGCATAAATAGTTCGGCCTTCTCAGCTCACCCAATAATAAAGTGTTTGCCTGACGACGACCTTGTCGACTTTTCATACACATAAATGGCTCTGACTTATTACAGTTTGCTTGCTTCTCCTCGCAAGTAATAAAATTAATGATGTCTCAATTTTCCTTTGTATGACACTATTGTACAGGTAAGTACATTTAAATAAGCAGCAGTATAAGTCTATCATATTAAACTATCGATCTCTGTCATGTTTTATTGGTTATGTTCCCGGCAGTAGTACTGAGTAGTTGCTTCCTCCATAGCCTTGAATGACAGCACAATCAGGCATATCTTATTCTTGCGTGGTGCAGTGCTGAAAATACGGTGATATACGCATTGATCGTAAGCCTTAAAGCCTTCATAATTTTCTCCGAAACATGCCAGATCATGTGGCTCTGCACCAATAGCTCCACTAGCCATTCCGACACTGTCAACCGCCATTAGTCTTTTGAAAGCCTCACAACGTGGGTGGTGGAATGAACCGTGGTTGTACATGTGACTCACATGTACCTCCACCGGACCTATTGCTTCAAGCCATTCCTTAGGATTTGCCTTGTCACTTGCCCCGTGATGGGCCATCTTGTAATGAGAGGTACTGAGAAAATCTTTGTGTGATACAGCTAGAGCTTTTGCAGTGGGTCCCTCCATGTCAGCAGTGAAGAGAAGTGATGATTTGCACGTTTTACAAGATAGTTTCATGAGCATTCCTCCCTCATTCTTATTGCGTGATGTAAGATTTCCCTGGAGCAAGGTGAAAGTTATATCTTGATTGTTACAAAAGTAATGCTCCTTCATTTCTTTACTATTGTCTGCAACCACTTTGGCATTTGCTATCGGAGGGTCGTAATCTGATAGTTTGCCGCCAACTATAATTTCTACATTTCCCGTAAAATTCTCTCTAACAGTGGTAATCAAGCTCATGTGGTCCCTGTCAGCATGCGATATTAGAATTTGTAAATCTGTGGCACCAGAAAGTAGAGAAGACATAATATTCTGAAATTTGTTCTCTTTGATCAAAACATTTCCCCCAAGACTACCGCAATCGAAAACAATGGCATTTTTCCCTCCATTGCATTTGATAACGTTGCAGTCACCTTGACCTATTGGTAGAGTGAACACCTCAACAAGGGGGTTGCCATCGGGTGGTTTATTCGAGACTTGGGTATTCGTTATAGTAAACAAGCGAAGGGGTAACATTGTGGTGTTAGATCGTTTATCTCGGTAATCCTTTATGCATTGCAGCTCTGAAGAGTTTCCTGGAGTCTGTCCATACAATTCCCCCGCATTGCACGTATCTTCTTCTCTTGGTCTCTTTTGTGGTCTTACTTGAATAATGGATGCTGCACTCCCACAGTTTGGGTTGCTTCCCCCCAGACTACACATGTCTCTTTCAATCTTGACAGCAGCTAGCATCTGGTGACATGCCTGGTCCTCTCTCTGTCTCCTCTCACTGACATCACTCATCAGCAGCTGATTGCAGTATCCAATAGCATGTTCAAGGACAGATTCACATTCTACCATAGAGCTCCCGAGACCATGTTCAGCAATACGGTATACACAGTCGGTCACCTTCTGATCAGGAGATAGCATTTGAACGAACAATTCTTTCATTAGAATATTTCTGTTCACATCTTTTGGATAGCGCTTGGCCTCAAAATCACTCAGAAGTTGGCCAACATCCAATGCAACACTGGTTGAAATAGCAACTACCAAAATCAGTAATGCTACCACAAGACCCTTCATAACTTCTTGTCAAACGTACGTTGCAATGTGCTACACACCACTGGCTTAGCTCTCTTTTTATGGTACATAGCATCTGAAGCTCCTCCTATTTCCACGACACTATACACATTTGTACATGCAGTGTGAGATTCTGAATCTCAGGCATCTCTATGAATATGAGGAAATGCGTGTGTCAATTTATTCTTGTGCATCACCCGGCACTAATTAAAGTAAGAATTCAGGAGTATGTATGTGTCTTATGTACATACTATACGTACGTACATAAGACAGGGGAATTCACAAGGAATTAGTGTCCTTTGATGTGATTTCACTCTGCTGGAATCCTGGTGGAGTATACAGTTACGTATCTAGAGTAGTGTAGAGTCTCGGATGAATTATTCTCTGACATGGTGTTCTGACAAATCTCCCTTTTCTAGATGTGCCCTGATTCTGATGTTGCTAAGGACCCAAAATCTCTTAGAATTTATACACTACTAGAACAATAGAATTTTGGCTAGGATGTAAGAGCAAAAAGGTATTGAGTTCGTTTAGGTATCTATTGCAAGTGAAAGTCCACAGCCCACAACTACAATCAGATCGTATGACAATTTGAGCTAACCAGTGCCCGCAACTCAGTAATGGCTATAGGGTTGGTTATGGTGTAGGTGTAAATGTGCACTCTCGCCAATCCAGACTGTTACGTAACTTGGAACACTCTTGCTCATTGTTATGCAATCACTATTGTGCCTTTGTACACCACAAACATTACACTTATATCTCTGTGTCTCTAGAACGCTCTAGAAGAATCACCTCAAATGTATATAAGTCAGTGTGTCTTTGATTGTACTCACTCAGCAAATAATATTGTTGAAAGCCATCAGGTTATAGGCCCAGACTAAGGACCTAACAGTCAGTTAGGCTCACAGATTGCTGCTGGAGAGTTCAAGAATGGCAAAGTCCAAGATCGTGGCAGTGGTGCCTTTGAACAGCACGAATTACTCCACATGGAAAATACAATGCAAGATGGCATTGATGAAAGAGGGACTCTGGGGCATTGTCAATGGAACAGAAAGAGCTGCTACTGAGAACGCTGAGCAACGGGCAATATTTGCAGCAAGGAGAGACAAAGCCCTTGCGACCATTGTGTTGGCCATTCAACCAAGTCTGCTCTATGTAATTGGTGCTGACCCGACGGATCCAGTTAAAGTCTGGAAAGCTTTAGCTGACCAGTTTCAACGTAAGACATGGGCCAATAAATTTGAACTCAAACGGAAACTCTTTTCTATGAGGTTGGGTGAAGGGGGTTCGATGCAAGATCATATCAAATCCATGACGGAAGTTTGCGATGAGCTATCTGCAATTGGTGACCCCGTAAACGAGGAGGATCGTGTTGTCTATCTTCTGGCCAGTCTACCTGAGAGCTACAACGTTCTTGTAACAGCCCTGGAAGCAAGGGTACTGGTTGCCTGATCCAAGAAGAAGCCAGCCTGCTACTGCTGTCATAAAGTGGGACACATCAAGAGAGACTGTGAGGAGTATGCAAAAGTCAAGTGTCAATCGGACAGAAAGGTCAGGGTTCAAACCAAACCAGCTCAAACCAAGAAGAAAACCACAATGGGAGCATTCTAGGTTACCATCACAGCTGATGATGAAAACGGCTCTGACAGTGATGGCTGCGGACTGGTGGTAGCACAAGCATTGTCAGCTGGCCCTACCACCCAGGAGCAGTGGATTCTAGACTCTGGAGCGACGAGCCACATGTGCAACAAGGAGTCAATGTTCACCGCTCTACAAACTCTACCTACTCCAATGACAGTGATGCTTGGTGACGGTCGAAATCTTCAGGTGGTAGGACGCAGGAATGTGACGCTAACAATGAACTTACAGAAGGGAAAAGAGACTTGCACCCTTTACGACGTTCTCCTGGTACCAGATCTGGAGTACAACCTACTCAGCATAACCTCTGCTGTCAAGAAAGGCAAGGTAACCATTTTCACCGAGATGAAATGTGAAATCAGAGACTCCAAGTCCAAGCTCATAGCCTTTGGATACAGAGAAGGAAGTCTGTACTACCTTGGCCAAGGAGGTCCCGCTCACCAAGCTTGTCCAAGCTCCGATCACAACAGTTCCAAGGAAATGATTTGGCATCAACAGTTTGGTCAATTGGGAACTCAAGGAATGCAAGCCCTGACAAGAAACAAAATGGTCAGTGGAATGGATCTCAAAATGGAAACAGGAGACTGGCTTCTGTGAATCCTGTGTGGAGGGTAAAAGTCACAGATTGCCATTCCAACATTCCAGTGGGAAAAGAGCAGATCATCCACTCGAGCTGATACACAGTGATGTGTGTGGGGAGATTGGAACCCAATCACTCGGTGGAGGAGAATACTTCGTCACATTCATTGATGATAACACCCGACATGTGTGGGTCAAGCACAAACACGAGGTATTTCGGTGATTCCAAGAGTGGAAAGCCCAGGTCGAGAAGTTGAGCGGAAGACAAATCAAGGCTCTTCGCTCTGACAATGGAGGTGAGTATACCTCGCACGAATTCGAGTCATACTTGACCAAAGAAGGAATCAAACATGAGCTGACAACACCCCATACTCCAGAACAAAATGGGGTCGCCGAGCGACTTAACCTTACACAGATCGAAGGTGTACGAACTATGCTAGCTCACTCCAAGCTCCCTCACAGATTCTGGGCAGAGGCCTTGTCAACAATTGTGTATCTCCGGAACCAGAGTCCCACCAAAGCACTAGAAGGAGTCACACCTCACGAAGTATGGAGTGGTTCCAAGCCAGATGTACGTTCGCTTCGCATATTCGTATGCAGTGCATACGCTCATGTGCCTAAAGCTGAAAGACACAAACTTGACACAAGACAAGGAAATGCATACTGTTGGGATATGGTACCAACAGAAAGGGTATCGCCTATATGATCTTAGACGGATGAAAGGTGATCCACAGCAGAGATGTTGTCTTCAATGAAACCTCTATGTCCGGGGCTTCAGAAGGAGAAGGAACACCCTCCCAAATATGTGGAGCTCGAAGTCGAAGAGAAGCCTGTTGTCGATGAATCGATGACTCCAAGTAGTGCGCCTGAAGAGACGCCTGTAGATGAACCGTCAGGTGAAGAGTCAGCCTCAGCCGACGTGCCGTCAAATCAGACTCCAAATCTACGGAGGTCAACCAGAAACCGACGAATACCTGACTGGTACAGCCACAACCTTACACTGCTTTCGACCGAACGACCACACCCCACCTCAGTAGACGAAGTCAATTCAAGTCCTGACAAACACTAGTGGAGAAGAGCCATGGAAAAATTAATGGGATCTCTTCGATTGAATGAAGTCTGGGAGTTGGTAGAGCCGCCGCCAAATCGGAGGATCATTGGCAGCAAATGGGTTTTCAAGAGAAAAGTCAATGCAGATGGAGAAGTGGAGAGATACAAGGCCCGACTGGTTGCTCAAGGCTGCAGTCAGAGGTTCGGTCTCGATTACGAAGAGACCTTCAGTCCCGTTGTTCACTTCCAATCCATAAGATCTGCTATAGCCTTGGGTGCTCAACACAAATTGCAGCTACACCAGATGGACGTATCCACTGCCTTTCTCCATGGAGAACTCACCGAAGAAGTGTACATGAAACAACCCGAAGGGTTCATTGAGCAAAGGAAGCAACATCTGATATGTCAACTCAAATGTAGCACATACGGTCTGAAACAATCACCACGCTGTAGGAATCATGCATTGGACAACAGACTGAAAGAAATGGGATTCAAGCAGACATCCGGAGACCCTTGCCTCTACATTCATCTCGATTCAGAAGGAGAAATGTTCCTCGTCACTGTCTATGTAGACGACATAATCCTCGGGGGGAAGAGTGACGTCAAAATGAGTGCAGTGAAGAAGGAGCTGAGTCATAAGTTTGAGATGAAAGATCTAGGACCACTCCACCATTTTCTAGGAGTAAAAGTCATTCAAAATCGAGAAAGTGGAGCGATATGGGTTGGACAACCAGTGTACGCAGACAAGATCCTACAAAGATATGGGATGCAAGACTCCCAACCTGTCAGCACACCTGTCAATCCCGATGTCAAGCTCGTTGCTTGCGAGAAGCCAGATGACGTGCATAACCAGCAGCCCTATCAAGCGGTTGTTGGCAGCCTGCTGTATCTGTCTACCAAAACAAGACCAGACATCGCCTACGCAGTGAGCTGTGTTGCTCGGTTCTGTGCCAAACCCAGCAAAGAGCACTGGACTGGAGTGAAAAGAATTTTACGATACCTGAAAGGCACGAACAAATTAAGGGCTCATCTACAGAGAAGATACTCTAGTTGCAATCACTGGATACTCAGATGCAGACTGGGCTGGCGATGTTGGAGACAGAAAATCAACCTCTGGGTACGTGTTCCTTCTGGGAGGTGCTGCTATGAGCTGGAGAGCAGCAAACAGACCTGTGTGGCTCTATCCTCTGCCGAGGCAGAGTATGTTGCACTGGCCACTGCATCCCAAGAAGCGATTTGGCTTCAGCAACTCATGGGAGACCTGTTAAATGAGAGCATCCAAGAAACAACAATCCTCGAGGACAACCAGTCTGCCATATGTCTTGCCAAGAACCAGAGCATTCATGGACGCACCAAACATATAGACATTATATATCACTTTATCCGTGATGTTGTGGAGGCTGGAAAGATCAAACTGGTATACTGTCCTTGAGAAGACATGATCGCTGACATGCTCACTAAAGGTCTCTCTATCGGACAATTCGAGAAACTCAGAAGACTGGCTGGGGTTAGTGAATTGGATTGCGAAGAGTGAGAAGGAGTGTAGGTGTAAATGTGCACTCTCGCCAATGCAGACTGTTACGTAACTTGGAACACTCTACTCAATGTTATGCAATCACTATTGTGCATTTGTACACTACAAACATTACACTTGTATCTCTGTGTCTCTAGAACGCTCTAGAAGAATCACCTCAAATGCATATAAGTCAGTGTCTCTGTGATTGTACTCACTCGGA